AAGTATTTGACTCAATCTATATTTAGCAAGGCTATAAGCAACTGGAAGAGAGAGTTATGTAATGGTTAATTACTACATCCATGCATAATGATTTGGAATGCGCATTCATTGTGTGACTTAAAGCACTCAAAAGTCATAAAACGTGGTCGTGTAGATGATAATTTGATAAAATGGTCTAATGGCAAAATGTTTATTCATGCTGCGCTTGCATCTTCATTACATTAGTAACACTATTGTGTAGAAATACTGTTTTGAGTGTGTTGTTATTTGTTCTCTTTAACTTGCTGCCTTTGCTTGTTAATGCAAGGCATGTGTCTATTCAGGGAAGAAAAACTTCTGTTATTAAATATAATTTAAAGAGTGTTACTTGCTTATCCTTCTGCGTGTATCACCTATCACTATCATAAGTGGAGCTTTAAAGAGACCGAGTGGAGACTTCTGAAGACTGTTAGAGTAAATTCCTTGATGGTTGAGACGATTTGTCAGGAGGACAAACAGTAGTGAAACTGGTCATACAAACAGCTCTTATTTAGCTAGGTTGTTCTTTCCCAATTCTCAATGCTTGTTCTTTCTTTTCATAAAAACAAAGTTACACTTGCATGTCAGATGCCTCATCAGCCGTACAGATCAGGTTTTATAAGTTGGGGAAAAATGTTGGATATGGTTTTGATGGGATAGTCTATTTTGGCAGCTCTTTCTAGATTTTGGGTTTCTTCCCCCATAATGAAGGTACTGTGGAAAATTTTCAGTCTAGAAAAAGCATGCTGTGAGGGTTGTCGTGGAAGATTGCTCAGTAAAAATAGACAATGTGTTCCGTTTGTTCTTGAAGAACGCACGGTTGCTTTGAAAATTTTAGCTTCGCACTGGTTGGGAAGAGAAGGTCGGGATGACCATCTAATTAGTAGGACATTTGAGAAGGGGCCTCATCCCACTGTAAAATGAAGTGGCACTTGAAACAGTTAAGACAGTTGCTGAGAGCTGGCTGAATAACAGAACTTGGTCTAGAATGGACTTGAATAGATTGCACTGCTTCAGCATGCGAAAGCAGAGCTTTTCCTTATGCTGTTGTTTTCTGAACTCTGGCTTATGCGGTAAACATTCCTCAGTGAAGTAGATTCACACAGTTTACTGTATTTCAGGGTCACTGTCCTTTTCTCCGGCTGAAAAACAGCATGTGAACCTTACTTGTTTTGCCCTACTTTGATAACAAAAAACCTCAGAGGCCACTTGTTAGTTGTACAAACATTTTTTCCTATGCCTGGCATGATTTAAAAAACAAAACAAAAAAAACAACAAAGCAAAGCAGTGGGAGAGGTGGGCAAAGCTTTCGAATCTGACTCTGAACTCATCTGTTCCAAGTTAATCATTGTTTAAAAAGGGAGTTTGTGAATTGAGTTCTGTAGTGGATAAAATTCTTCTAGAGTCCTCTAGAAATCACAGATAGCTTCTCTACTGACTACTGAGTTTAAACTTAAGCATACATAACTTGCTACTACTAAACTAAATTGCTGTTAAATACTTTTTTCCTACAAAGTGCTTGTTATACCATGAACTACAAGTTGTACAAAGTAAAAGGTACTGAGAAAGAAAGCCCTTGCTAATGTCTGTGCACTGGATATTGACATATGGACATACCTTTTTTCATAGTTTCTCATAGTATTTAAATTTTATTAACTGTATTTTCACTACCTTTTCTCCCATCCTCCCCTAATCCTCTCTGTTTTTCTAGAGATCTGCTGTATGGGAGACCTTTCAGGAAGCTGTGCAGTTTGAATACATTGGATAGTTCCAGTACTTGAAACCTTCATGATGAAGAGAGCTAGGCAGAAAGTTGTGGTTGAAAATGAACCTCCTCAAACATCACAGAAAAGCAAAAAGCAGAAAACTTGCTTATATGGCTCGGTGTTTGGTGAATCTGACTTGCAACCCTCAGTGGACTGGGAAAGCCTCCCGCACCATGTTATTCTGCGTATTTTTCAGTTTCTACCTTTAGTAGATCGAGCCAGGGCATCTTCTGTTTGTCGAAGGTGGAATGAAATTTTTCACATCCCAGATCTCTGGAGGAGATTTGAATTTGAACTTAGCCAGCCAGCTACTTCTTACTTAAAGTCTACACATCCTGATCTCATTCAGCAGATTATCAAGAGGCATGCTGATCATCTGCAGTACGTCAGCTTCAAGGTAAGTCTTGGATGAATGGAGGCTTGTTTTGTCACGAAGCTTTGTTATAATATATGCAGCTTATCTATGTCGGTTGGCTCAAGTGTTGTACCTGGGAAGTCTTATGTTTAAAACTGCAACTATTGCAACAACTTATTTCCACACATGCACATGATTTCCTTCCGTTTTCTACACTCTAATCTCTGCAAAGTACAGAAGGAGCTAACGTCATGCAATACAGTGCTGAAGATTGAATGATATGTTTTCAGAATATACAGAATACGTAGTTTCTGTGAATCAATGTTAGTGCAATCTGAGTACTCAGCAGATTATTGTGCAGATAAATACTTCTTACACATGGAAGCATTTGAGGAGATAAGTTTCTTGTGTATATAATTTACTTGCGAAATAGAGCTATACTGTGAAGAACGTCCTTGAAATTTTAGAACCCTACTTTGAAAAAGCATAAGTAAGGGAGAAAGATGTGCCTGTATACTCAGGTGATTGACACAAAGGGCATAATTAAGTAACAGTAAACTTGGTTTAAAGGTGAGCTTTGTTTTAGTCTCAAGATTGCATGAATTCAGATTTTTTTCATTTGAATATTTGGTACAGTTCACTGTTTATCTGAGAAGATAATAGGTGGAATTACAGGTGCTTGCTTCACTTTTGGCACTCCTCCTTAGAGGAGGTCATAGTTCTAAGCTGTGAAGGAAAAGTGGAAGAAAGGATTGATATTAAAGCTAGGGTGAAAATGAGAAGCTTCTTTTTCTGAGCACTGGTAGTGTTTTTACATATCGTGATTTGGTTGCACAGTAGTTCATGGATAATCAGTTATTAAAGACCTGTAACTTCTGTACTTCATATAACAGATTATAATGAATTGGCATAATCAGTTATAATGAATTGGCATTATAATGTCTCAATACACCTCTTAGGCTTTTTTAGCAACTCTTTTATCATGTCAGCCTCCTACGGAGGAGGGTGAGAGAAAATAGTAATTTGTCCAAAGTTAGTCATCAGGTTTATAGGTGAATAGAGAATCAGCTCATTACTCACGATGCAAAGGTGGTGTCCCTGCAGGTAAAATAGATTAGCTTGCTGGAGTATATCTAGGCTTTATCAAGTCTTTTTTCTGCTCTGAGAGTTTAGAATTGGCCTTTTAAAAAAGGTGTGTACATACCACTGTCTATCGTAACACTAATGCTGATTACAGTTGTTTAGGAAGGCATGAGATGATTTGAAGAGAAGGCTTAGATTTAGACTCTCTTCATACTAGAAATATCCAGCAGTCATACTCAAGAAATACTCAACTAACTTTCCTGAACTCTTTCTTGTCTTGAAATTTCTAATTAACGTTGTACTTTGTCCTTGTGGTGAATGCAATCTGGTGCAGTACAGCTGAGTGGGTGTGGAATTTGCAGTCTTAGGTATCTGTGGCGATGTTTTATAAATAATAATAAAGAATGACATAATTTTTAAATTGCTTTTATAGGTTGATAGTAGTACTGAGTCAGCAGAAGCAGCCTGTAATATCCTTTCTCAGCTGGTGAACTGTTCCATCAAGACACTAGGTTTGATTTCTACAGCAAAACCAAGCTTCATGAATGTCTCTAAGGTAATGTTCTGCAAACTGTGACTAGTGACTTAATTCACTCTTAAACCACTTAGCTTTCTTATTGTGCTGCTGTTCAGTTGATGGTGATTTTTATGAAATTATCTGTATTTATTGGCATATCTTCTTTAATAAACGTTAGGAAAATAGTTAAACATTGGTTCCGTTCATTAAATTTAGTAGTGTTGATACTTTGTGGTGTAGACATGGGGAATCGTTTAGAAGGCTTGTTTCCTCATTTCTAGATTACAAGAATAAATCATAGAATGGTTTAGGTTGGAAGGGACCTCAAAGATCATCTAGTTCCAACCCCCCCCACCCTGCTACGGGTAGGGACAGCCTCCACTAGCCCAGGTTGCCCAAAGCCCCATCCAACCTGGCCTTGAACACTTCCAGTGATCCAGGGGCATCCACAGCTTCTCTGGGCAACCTGTGCCAGTGCCTCACCACTCTAACAGTAAAGAATTTCTTTCTAACATCTAATCTAAATCGACCCTCCTTCAGCTTGAACCCATTACCCCTTGTCCTGTCACTACACTCCCTGATAAACAGTCCCTCACCATCTTTCCTGTAGGCCCCTTCAGATACTGGTAAGCTGCAATTGGATCTCCCTGGAGCCTTCTCTTCTCCAGGCTGAACAAGCCCAACTCTCTCAGCCTGTCCTCATAGCAGAGGTGCTCCAGCCCTCTGATCAGCTTTGTGGCCTCCTCTGGACTCTCTCCAACAGCTCCCTCTCTCTACTGTCATGCGGCCCACAGAGCTGGACGCAGTACTGCAGGTGGGGTCTCACAAGAGCAGAGTAGAGGGGCAGGATCACCTCCCTCGACCTGCTGGTCACAATGATATTAATATGTTTGGGAGATTTTTTTTCTTTTGACTTTATAGGTCACAGCAGTTACTTTCTGGAGAAATAAAATAAATGCCATTTCCTCTTTTCTGCAGATAAATTAACTTTACGCTCAGTAGATAACTCATCCACTCTGATTTCTTTTCACTGTAATGAAACAGGGATAAGTGGACATAGTGATGAGCTTGAAGTACCTAGAATTTTTGTCACATGAAGCAGTTTATTTTTAAGCAAAGATTTCCTATGTTCAAATAAGCCTTTCTTACACAAGAAAGGGGATGCTTAGGAAGTTATTATCTTCATACTTTCTGTGCATGCAAAACCTGAGGTTTAGATGCTGAAGTACAGCCTCTGTTTTCATAAATTCCACCCCCACCTTCAATTTCTCCTAACAGGCCCACTTTGCTTCAGCACTGACAGTCGTTTTTGTAAACTCCAAATCGTTATCATCAATCAAGATAGATGACACACCACTTGATGATCCTTCCTTGAAAGTTCTTGTTGCTAACAATAGTGATACTCTAAAACTGCTAAAAATGAGCAGCTGTCCTCATGTATCACCTGCTGGTGAGTAGTGAATATATTTGAAAAATGTAATAGTAAAGTATCATACAACTATAGTTAAGGCTTAGTTTGAAACAAGATACTCATTAAACTTCTAGTGCTCTTCTGAGTCCCTGAGTCCCTTGTGTTGACCTAGTTTTGACTTTGGGCAGTTGGAAGGGGAAGAATAATGTCTTTGTGTTAAGGAATGAGTTGGATTAATGAAGGTGGAGGTGCTCCTTGCTTGACTAAATCTTCTGGAATCCTGGGGATTTTTTTTACATTCTTCTCAGCTACTCCAGTACCTCTGATGATAGGCCATGAGGAAAAGACTCCAAAACTAGTCTTTAACAGGCCTGTAACACATGTTCCAAAGACTTGATGTTCATTGCCAGGTCTCTGTAAGAGTAAACAAATGTGTGCTGCTTAATGTGTGCAACTTTGTAAACTTATCTGTGGGAACACAGGTGCAAAATCTCCCATCTGTGAATCAACTGCTGGTTGGAGATGAAAGCAGTTGACAACAACTGTGTTGCAAGGTGCTGTGAGTTTATCTTACTGAGCAAAAGTGCTAATACTTTAAAATTATATTAAAAAAACCCCACAACAAAATGGGATGTGTACAAATTTCAAAAACTATTAATGTAAGACTGAGTCTCAGTTTTGTTGTTTATGTCTTAATTTAGGGAAAGGGTCTGTTTTACCATAGGTTGCTGGTGGTCATCTAAATAGAATGCTTAGATGAATGCTGAAGGGAGGTGCACTAGGGAAGTAGCAGTGGAAGAAAGCAGCAGTATTAGGAAGTAGCAGAGGAAGTATTAGGGAAGAGAGCAGTGGAGACTTCAGCTGAATCTTACCTGATTTCAGTTGCCTCTTCAGAGTTGAGGAAATTCTGCATGAGGAAGGGCAAAGAGGAAGAAGGATGTAGTTCCAAGATGAATGTGACTCGTTAGACTTGCTTCTTTTACTGATAAGTGTTCATGGCCAAAACCCCATAAAAGGATGTGGATATCTAGAACTTTATCATATGTCATGGATTTTTGGATATAGGCATAAATACTCAAACAAATAGAATTAGTACTTGAGCTTTACAGCAAACGACTCTGCTTATATTCACTTTTCATTTTACAGAGCAATTTCTTTTGTTCCTCAGGAGTTCTTTGTGTTGCTGACCAGTGTCATGGACTTAAGGAGCTGGCTTTGAACTACTACATATTAAGTGATGAACTACTGCTGGCTCTTTCAAGTGAAAAACATGTTGATCTTGAACACCTGCGCATAGATGTTGTGAGTGAAAATCCTGGACAAGTTGAATTTCACACTATTAAAAAACAAAGCTGGGATGCTCTTGTTAAACACTCCCCTAAAGTCAACATTGTGATGTATTTTTTCTTATATGAAGAAGAATTTGATGCTTTCTTCAGAGAGGAAACCCCTGTTACACACCTTTACTTTGGTCGTGCAGTAAGCAAAGCAATGCTAGGACGTATTGGCATGAATTGCCCAAGGTTAATTGAGTTGGTTGTGTGTGCTAATGGACTTCAGCCTTTGGATGACGAACTCATTCGGATCGCAGAGCGCTGTAAGAACTTAACAGCAATGGGACTTGGTGAATGTGAAGTAACTTGCAGAGGTTTTATTGAATTTGTAAAGATGTGTGGGGGCAGGCTTACCCAGCTTTCTATAATGGAGGAGGTACTGATTCCAGATAATGATTACAGCTTAGATAGACTTCATTTGGAAGTCTCCAAACACCTTGGAAGAATGTGGTTTCCTGATATGATGCCAACATGGTAAATTCTCCACATTTGTGGAGAGAATGGTGGGATCAGGGTGTTGTTTTCTATGCAAATAAAGAATTTAAAAATGAAATGTGAAAACTTATTTCCAGATTTGAGTTTTTCTACCTTGAGAACCTCTAGCAGTGTAACAGCAAAACATTCTAGAATGCTAACAGTATACCAAAATAGAAAATAGATTAAGTGTACTTAACACTTCTGAAAGTATGTCTGTGGTTTACAGGTGCTTCAAACTTCAGTGAACTTGGACTTTTCTGAGCTTCAGTTTAAATGTTCCATTCACATTAAAGTTAGTTGGGGTTTTTGTGTCTTTTCATGTTTAGTCTTTCCGATGTAGTCAGAGGACTAGAGAAACCTTTTTCCTTTAGCAAATCTATCTTTATGGGAAGCTGGATACAACTTGGGAGTTCAGTATTATTTGTCATGATGTTTTGCAGCCATCCTTCAAAATATTCATGTTATAAATGTAAAAGCTTGTACATGAAAATACTTACACTAGCCCAGGTTACTCATATAATCTAGCTTAAACTCATGCTAGTATATTAAAATGTTGTGGTAAATAAGCTTGTGCTTACAAATAAACTTTACAGTTTTAAATTGCACTTTAAATTTTGTCAGATTAGCTAAACTGTAGAGACTACATTGTACAGCATGTTGGGTTTGTGTCTTATGCATTAAATAGATGGGAAAGGACCTTGTTAAAATTAATAAACTTAAAAGTTTGGGTCTAGATTGGTTGCTTGGGTGAATGACAAAGCACTTTGGAAACTGCCAGAGTATAAGGAATAGGTTCTGGATTTGGGAGAGTTCAAGTCTTTGATTACAAAGATTGAATGCTGTTCCATGCTTTCATTATTAAGAGATAAGAAGGATCTCATAACTGTGGCTAGTGAGAAGGAAGGATCAAATGGCATACAGTTGTCTTTAACTTTCTATCTGGAATCAAGGATTTAGAGCACTTAAGCCAGTTTGGGGCCAAAATGGCCTGTAGTAATTTTGTTGGTATCTTGCACAGCTGTGCTGTAAGCCCTGATTTCAAGAGTAAGGGTTGCTAGAGGTGATCCTGAAACTTTTAATTCAGGATTGTTTAATACTTGTTGTATTAATTGGTTTTGGAGGAAGAAGATAGTCTTTTACTACTTTATTTTCCTTAAAGAGGAAAGGAATGGTGAGTTGATGTGAATTAGAGTATGTATTTTTGTGTTGACTTTTGCACACTGTAAACTGAAATGCATTGTACATAAATTTTGCTGTAATTATTTTCATGCTGTGGTTGATCTATCTTCCTATTTATAATGAGAAATCTACGTTTGATTTCCTGGTGGTTTTTTGTCACATCAGATAAAACGTCAGTTTCTTCAACACTTACACTTCTTTACTGCAAAAATAACAGCTAAAAGGTTAACCCACCAATGTTGTGGACAGACTTGTTTCCAGTTGTGAGCTAAAGGATTTAAGATAACATAAAATGCCTGTCTGACTCAGTAATGCATTATTGCCTCTTGCCTGGTTAGTTAAGCAGCATCTGATTCTGGTTACTAGCACCTGTTATCCAAGCACTTGCTTCCGTAATCAAGGGGATTATAATTGTCTTTTGTTTAAAAGACTCAAATATTTCTAAACAGTATTTGGTTTAAAACGTGTGGTTTGCTTTAAATGTAAACATAATAAAGTGATCTAATACATGCACTGATACTAGGCTCTTATCCATCTGTTGCACCATGTCCTGTTAGGCAGGATTCTGTCCTCTTAGAAACATACTTGACAGACCTGGGGAGAGGCAGTAGAAATGTTTAGCTCTTGGATTTTAACAAATTAGTCATTGTCATTCCATGTTCGTGCCTCAAACTTGAGTATTCTTGACGTGCTGAAACTGTAAAATGGAATGTGGACAAAACTTGTAGATGGCTGTAGAGTCTTGGAATCCTTTGTGTCTCTAGTCAACATAGCAGCATTAATGAAGTATCAAACACTAGTGGCTGTATACAGAAACACAGTTCAGTAGGAAACTGTTAAAATACTTTGAATGTTGTCCCTTTCTCTGTCCCTTGTATCAAAGCAGCTTTTCTGTGAATCCATGAACGTTCGCTTGCCTCAGCTCCAAGCTTCTAGAAAAATGGCCCTGCATTTATTAATGTGAATTTTGATGCGATGATTTTATTGTGCATTCGCTCTGCTAACTGATCTTGACAAGTAAGACCAATTGATACTTGAGTTTATAACTAAATGCCAACAAAACTGGTATGTTAGTCTCAATGTAAAACGCTGGTTCCTCACTGGTAGCAAGGGAAGCTGATTTTAATTGAAAGGTAACTTCTGACATTGGGTTAATGTTGAATTGTATAGTTTTAGTGTTAGATTGTTCAATGTCACGTGTTGGTCCTGTGGTATGTGCATAGTGCTTTGAGGAGGAGTGTCAAAACACTGCCCTGTGGAAAACAGCATTGGGTTTTCTTTTCCTTCTCCAGTAGGTCTCCCCGAGGGACTGCAGTGGGGAGGGTATTGCATTTGGCAAGAACCTGTAGATTCTGCCTCTACTTCCTCCTGTCCCTTCAGTACACGTCAGAGCTCTGCCTTGTCCTAGCTAAGGCAAATTTTGTCTATTTTATTGGCTTTTCTTAGTTTTACTGCCCTGCGTGGCTTTCTAAAAGCCTATCTCTAAAGCAATAATACACTTTGTCAGAGTAACTGAAGCTCTCAAAATGAAGTACAGAACTTACACCTGATACTAAGGAGATTTGTAGGGTCACTAAAAACTCCATGCTACAGTGGAAGCTAACAGCAATGTGCCTTTTCTGCCACATGAGGGGGTGAGCAAGTTTTCATGGTCACTGATTTTTTTTTTTTCACACTCTCTGAGAAAGCTTACAATTAGACGTTACTAATTGCCCAATTCTCTTGTAAATTCCAACAAAAACTTGTATTTTTTTTCCTTGTGTGGAGTCCCTTTTGCTGTTCAATAGAGCCACCGGTTCTGGTACGACAACTCCAAACAGCATCTTTTATGCTTTGTGGTGTGTTTCAATACATTTCCCTCTAATTTTTCTCAGTTCAGGTTCCTTTGAAATCTAAAGTAATCTTGTTTGCCAGAGTATAGTAAAGTGGTTTTTTTTTTTAATTAGCCTGAGATACAGTGTTTGCAATAATTACAGGTACTTAAAAACCAGTACCTGATCGGTACCTAGGAGCTATATTAATGTCAGCACCTTGCAATATTACATAAAGCTCAAAGTATTGAGGCAGTGTAATATAAACTGTTGTTGTGCATGAGAAGAAAAAAAAAACCAACAACTTTTGGATGCTGAGATGAATTTATTTGGGATTTACTACATTTCCACTTCACACTCTTTGCCCTTTCCCCCTTTCAAGATTGCCGGTAGGATCTGAGTGATCGCAATTCTCAACATGAATATGAGATGTGATCCCAGGAAACACTCTTTGCATTGGCAGCATTCTCCCAAGGATTTGTCCCTTAGAAACTCTACCGGTATATCTGATGGGATGGATGCAGAGTAGTTTTACACAGAAGCCTGGTGAAAATAAGAGGGAAAACATCAAGTGACTGATGAAGCATTTGTTCTTCTGTGCTATATTTCAGAAATATTAACATTTTCTGTCTTGTCCTTTCTGCTGAGATAGCAATAGTGGAAATACCAAAATAGCAAAGGCACTGTGGTCATAAAAAGTAGAGATAGTGGTTGGAGTTGTTGGCTTGGTGGAGGAGGGAAGATGGGAGGCAGGGAGAAGGTGGGAATGCCTACTTTACTGAAGAGAAGAGCTTGAAGACATTCTACAGAAGTCAATTATTTGCATTCTACCATAGGAGCAAAAAGTTTAGCATGCAGATGAATAGAAGAGGCAGTTTCAAAGTGTACATTGCTTAACTACTTGGCTAGCTGCAAGGTAATACATCCTATGTGATCTCAAGACAAAGAAATAGGAAATGAAAAATAGCTATTTACCTGATCCACTGATTTTGACCCCGTCATCAATGGCATTTCCGTTGTGGAAGAATTTAATGGGTCCAGAGAGCTCGCCAGAAAAGGGAGCATAGACGGTTGCTCCGTCAGCACAGATGACATCCACACCAGAGTGCTTTCCTTTACCATTTTTTCTGAAAACAAATACGTAATTAGAGAAGTCTCTTGTCAGGCCCAACACATAAAGATAGATGAGTTAACACGCTGCAAGATCTGGAAGTGGGTTGTTTGTACTGAGACAGTGCTGACATAGTTGACTGGCTGATAAAAGTTTTTTTGTGTAGATGATGTAATGCTGTGAAGGGTTGATGATCTGTTAAAGTTGCAGTTTTGCAAATTGGAAGGAAAAAAAAAAGCCTTTCTTCCAAGCCTTTAAATAGAGCTGTAGAGTCATGGAAATGTTGGTTGGCAGGTACCTGTGGAGGATTAAAAAACCGCCGAGCGCAGAGGGTTTATGGACAATGTGGGCAACCTGTGCTGGTGCTGCATTACCCCTGCAGTGGAAATGTTGCCTGGTGTCCAACCTAAATCTCCAAAGCTGTAATTCTTAAATGGCTTAAACAGAGTTTGGCTCTATGTCAGTGGGGCAGCAACAAAGCCCCACGTGTTCTGCTTACAGTACCTTGGAGCTCCGTAGTATCCACAGCCGTATCTATCACAGCCTCTTATCTCGTTTGTAGGATTCCCAGAGCATATTGTTGACCAGTGTCCATCTTGTTGTGGGAATGGTGGAACATCTTTGAAATACAGAAACACAGCGCATCGAAGTTAACTTTTGAGTTCTAAGTGTTGCATGTTTGTAAGTATTATGTGTTAATTTTAGTTAGGTAGGAACATACTGGAGTTACGTCCCACACCTGTAGTGGATACCTCCTTCACAAAACTTGTCCTTTAGGAAATGGAAATAGAATGTACAACTAAGACTGGATTGTAATGTTTCTAGATTAGGGTTATCTTGTATAAGGAACATGCTTTAGAGACAAAAATTTAAAATTCAAATTCTAGCATCACAGTTCTAGAGTGTAATCTGAGGGATAGGAAAAGACTTGGTTTTGTTTCTTATTCTATGCTCAGGCTGAGACTGGACTCCTCAAGTCCTCTTATTTGCAAGGAATCATCCCAAAGTCTACTAAGATGCATTACTGAAAACATTGCTAGTAGCTGAAAGGGTAGAAACAGAAGAAATGTCTGACTCAGTGTACTACTGAGACTTGACACTGCTGTGTCATGGGGGCAAGAAATGCCACTTGATAAGCTGATATATCGTCCTTCCTGTAACGTTGCCCACAGTCCTGTTATGCTGTATTTATAATGCATATTTTCTTTCAGATGTTGCTGTCGGGGAGAACCTAAGACAGAGGGGACTATTGCTATTTGATATTGTTGTCCTTATTTGAAATTAATAACTTAATTTTCATTCATTATACTACTATTCTGGGGTTTTTTTCTTTACCAGGTGTAAGAAGCTGAGTAGGATCAGAGTGGTCGCAGTTCTCAACGTGGATGTGAGAGACAATGCCAGGAAATACTCTTTGCATTGGCAGCATTCTCCCGAGGGGTTGCCCTCTATGGATTTGGCCGTGGTATCGGATGGGGTGAATACAGACGAGCTTCACACAGTAACCTGGAAGAGACGGGAGAGGAAGCGAGGTCAGGAAACATCAACTGCATCTGTTCTCAGGGTGAGTAAGAAACCTTCCGGGCTAGGCTCTTAGTGGAGACTAATGATGAAACAGAAATGTAGTCAAGGGACCAACAATCCCGAAATCAAAATTACTTGATTTGCTATGGAAAAGAGGAAGTTGGAAAATAGGGACAGGAAAACATCCTCAGCAAAACTGAGGGCATATTTCTGTTACTTTATTTTTACTGCTTCCTTTTTTTGATTTGCGGTTGTTGTTTTCCTGCTACCTGTTGTTCAACTCCTTTCTTCCCTCCTCTCCAAGACAAGCATAGGAAAAGAACTGCATCCTGCTGGAGCTGACTTCTGATATTTTGGAGCAGCAGTGTAGTTGTGCCTCACTGTAGGAACTAGAGAAGTTGTAAGATTAATCAACACTTTGCTTGAATTGAAGAGCCACAGAAACCTTACTCAAGTGAATAAAATGATTACTTGTGCCTGCCTCACAACATATCTGCTGTTAATTACTTGCCTGATCCCGTGATTTGGACTCCATCGTCAATGGCATTGCCGTTATGAAAGAATCGAATGGGTCCGGAGAGCTGGCCGCTAAAAGGAGCGTACACTGTTGCTCCATCAGCACAGATGACATCCACGCCCGTGTGCTTTCCTTTACCACTGTGTCTGAAAACACAAATATGTATTTAGAGAAGTCTGCCAGGCTTAACGTGATGTATAGATAGATCAGTTAACACAGTATATCTGAAACTTGTCTAACAAAATGAAATTGGAAAGAAATAGCGACTTTGATCCATCTTTCATTACTGCAAAATGCTTGTATTACTCTGACCTTCTTTAAAGGGAATGAGACTTCACATTTTAAGCAAATTTTTAATTTTCCCAAGTTCATGGGATATTTCAAGCTGTTACAGAAAAGTACCCCTGTTACAGAAAAGTACCACTGTTCTACCCCAAAATACATCTGTGCCAGTGTAAAGTAGAATCTTATGTTTGGCACTTTCTCATTTAGAAATTCAGAAGTTGCATGATGAGGGTGGACACTTACAGCACCTGGGGAGAGGAGGTGACAGGAAAACAGACAAGCAGGAGTCATTCTACATATGAGAGCGTTTTTCATGGAAATATAACCTGTTCTGTTATGAGGTGCCTACTTAAAGACAACGATGCTGGCAGACCTTTAGCTTATGTAGATTAATGTACTTAGCTTCCTGTAAGCTGTTGCTGAATGTTAGTTAAATACCTGGTCTATAAGCAACAAGAATAAATGACCCAAATCCTTGAAATACTTTCCATTTCCTTTACTACTGTGGCTGCTAGTTCATCTCACGGTCTCGCTTCTTCACCCATGCACTAGTTAGTAGCTGTGGTATTACTACACTTTGTTGAGATTGCCAATTAACATCCCAAAAATGAGTAAGAGGTCCTGCAGACGAGAGTCTTCTCTCATTCTAAGTGTCAACTCTGGTTAAACTCTGCTCTTTCTCCTGTGTGACCATTTTATTTAGGAAAGCAACAGCAAACCCCACTGCTCCGCACTCCCGATGCCTCGCTGTGTTACCTGTCGGCGCCGAAGTGGCCGCAGCCATATCTATCGCAGCCCCGGATTCTGTTGGTGGGATTCCCGCTGCAGATCGGTGCCCAGTGCCTGTGCTGTTGCTGGGGCGGGTGCACGTCCCACTGCTTGGCAAAAACTTTACGTGCAAAAGAGGGAAATGGGGAAAATTCAACTGGGTTCTCGGTACAGTACAACAGAAAGAGTTAAGGTGTGAAATAGGGTGTTTAAAGTGGAGACGCGACTCCTCTGCCACAGAACAAAGGTTCATTCCTCAAATACTGTGGAGAATGGCTCATGGGTGTTTATAATTTCAGAAACTGTAGGTAAAAGAACATTGTACAACCTGTTGTATAGATTTGATCCCTTGTCATAGAGGTCTTATTTTAAGATATGCTAAAAGCAAAGCGATGACTATTTTAAATATTAGTTTGTGAAATAAGTCAAACTAGAAGTTTCATGAAAAAAGTGAAAATAAATGTTTCAATATATGACTCTAAATGCACACCCAATTCCTTATTTTATGATAGTCAGAATTGCACACATTACCATAATTCTTCATAAAACTAGATTGAAAAAACAGCATTATTTATGTTGGAGTAAATTTCAATAAATCATTAGTGTCTGCCTAAAACCAGTCAAGACCAACTGCAGTACAGCACTCTGAACTCACCAGCGGACACCAAGCTGACCAGAGCGACCAGACTGAGAGCTGACATCTTGTGGCTGTTTCACCGGTGTTCTTTGATCGAATCAAAGACATTGAGCAGTAGCTGCCTGGGGTATTTATGTGTTTTTGAAAGCCCCAGTCTTTTGTCTTGGCCAATCAATCTTGAGCAAAGTATTACAGCTCCAGGTGGACGGTGTTGCCATATTAGGCACTGAGGATGTCTACAAACTCTAACAGTTGTTAGAGCTGGTTGGGAAAGACGGATAAAATAATTGGTCTCTTAGCACACAGTAACAGATGGAAATGAAAAATCCCACATTTCAGGAAGTTCTGGTTGAATGTTTCTTCACATCTTTTCTTCTTCCTCATGAAGCAAGGGAACACTTAATGGTTCCCAAAACCAATGGGAAGCAAGCATACGGTCCAGAAGATTGAATTGGCGGGAAAAGATGGGCAAAACTCTCTCTGTATGTAACCAGTTTATCCTTCACTGCTTGTTCCAGTGCTTCGCTCCTCCCCAGGTGTATGTGCTCACTAGAGATGTCCAACAGAGTGACAGAGAACACATGAAGGTGTAATGTTTGCTGTAACATGAGTGTTCACTTAGGCTAAGAAATGTGGATGCTTTTGCGTGGAAGCGTGTTTTTTTCCTGTTCAGCTGAAATTATCACTAAGTCTGCATTTAAATCCATGAAGTCTTGTCACCAAAACCCTAGTTTTTAACAACAAAATTCTTGCTAAACCATCTTCAAGTTCTGAAACAAACAGTTGCAAACCCAAGTTGTATGGCATAACTGACATGGAATTAAAAAAATAATCTAGGTTTTATAATCTTTCATTTAGTATTTGCTTAATTTCAGTTCTTTGTACTATTAAGCAGGCTGGTTAGTGTCTCTTTTAATTGTTCCTTCCATTTAGTTTTTCTGCACTACTTACAGAAAAAATACTAGATTTTCTTTATGGGCATTTCTTGGTTAATATGAAATTAAAATGAATCATGGAGCTTTCATATAAACTCTCTGATATTCCAAGTTACAGAAACCTCTGGAAGTCCTGCAGGTTTTATTCAGAGGAGAAACAGATGTGTCTCTGCCACACTTCTAGTTTGCAAAGAGCAAATATCTGCAGAACCAGCAGCTGGAGACAAATTTTTTGCTTGTGGTTCCAAGCTTTTTTTACAGCCAATATTTAACCCCCAAACAATCTTTTAACAGTCCCTGGGGTTTTTACAAGTGGCTTTGCTGATTTTACCCCTGCTGCTTTCTTCCTCCATCCTGCCAGAAAGAACTGCTGTTTTCATACTCGTAGCCACCAAACGAATATTTATATAAATATTATGTCCCCTTGGTCTAGTTTTGATGAAGCTTTTGGTTGTAATTTGCTCAATATAATGGAGCCCAGGCTTGTAAATGATAGAAGGCACTGGTAAGAGCTCTCAGTGGGTATTCAGGATTTGGGGATGCTGCTTACTCCTGAACTGAGAGACAAGGTATGTGGGTTTGTGTGACCCTTGCCTGAAACAGCCTTCGTTGCTGCAAGCTGGGAGAGCTCGTGCAATATTCTGTGCAGCTTTCCAAGCTTCCTCGCTTTCATTTGGCAGAGGCTTTCTGTAACCCCCCTCAGCTCTCCTTAGCAGAGAGAATCAGCAAGTGAGGTGGTGTGTGTGGCACCTTGCAATGAAGACTTCATAGCATAGAGGTAGTAAAGTATCTCCGAGCTTGGCTAGCTTGATACTAGCTGCAGTAAGCTTTTTTCCTACTGGAAACAAAACCATTTACAAATAAAGACTTTATTTGGGTGATGCCTGGCAATTTCCAGTTGCGGGGGTCTCCAGTGGGGTTTCTGCAATACTGATCTCTCTGCACCAGAGTTTATTCCCAGTTTACTCCTGACTGCCTCTTTGCACTAGTAGTGTTTTAAATATCTCATTAAATAAATTTTACCTGGGGCAGACCTGCCTTGAAAAGCTAACTATTTTTATAAACTTTTGTGAACTCATACGCTCATAATTTTACCAAAGGAGGAATTGGAGCACCTCAATCCACTCTACAAAGTCTTGCGAAGGAAAGGCTGGGCGTAAAGCTGGTCGAGCTGGTAGGCATGAAGAGAGAAGTACAAATAGGTGCACAAACACCAAAGAAGCTTTTCTCTGAATCCTGTTTTGCAGTCTGGTATTTTGTAAAGTGGCTCTAAGCTACCTTTTCTTAGTGATTTTTTTTTTCCATCTCATTTGTGCTTCAGAGCTGACTCCAAATTGCTCGTAGCTGCGTAAATTTTTTGTGTTTCTCCGTCAGAGACCTTAACAGCTTTGTATCTTGCTCTGTTCTTTCTAAAACATGTCAAAATGTCATTTGCTACAGTAATATATCTAATGCGCTTCTGGTAAAGTATTCTTAATAAAACAGTTTTCAAGGGTATGATATTGCAGTTGAGACTTCTGAGTGCGTTCCCCATCTTTCCTGGGTGAGCTGGAAGGTGCAGACCTCTCGCCTTGGGCACTTGGGCTTGACGAACCTCTGAACCAAAGTTGCTGGGATTCCTGTGTTGGGCAACGGAGATGTTAGTATGACAGTTGGTAGGTGCGGTTGTGAAACACACGAACTGGCTGCTTAGCACACCCCAACAGAAGGATATGGAACAACCGACCAGCGTTGCACAGCCCCTGGGAGCTGCAGTTGCACCGTTTCCTTCCCTGCGGACAAGGGGATGGAGAGGAACCAGCGCGCAGCGCTGCGAGGAGCATACCGGGAGTGATGCGCTGGCTGGGGAAATGCTGACTTCTTTCTCTTGCATGAATTGGGTGAATTCCCTGTTTTGCCCCTTTTATGCCTGTAGTAACTTCCCTGGCTGTGTTAGTCCCTTCAAGGTCTTCTCATGGACTGAGTGAGAGTGCAGCGGGCAAACGCGAGTGTTTGGGCTGGTATCAACAGGCAGTGAGAGTTAAGCCTGATGCTGTCCGGGAGAAATCGCAATTTTGCTATTCAGCCTTTCCAAAGATACTGTGACTCTGCTGTGTAAATTATGTGGTGTTTCAGGAGGGTCTGCTGCCAGTTACCAGGGCTTTTGGATAGATGGTACCTGTCACGCGTGTGTCCATAAACCTTGCAAATGTTAGTCTGTCACTCTTAATATATTAATTACTTTAACGTTATCTCTTAATGAGAAAATGGTAAAATGATGGGATAAAGTTTTTGGAGGAAAAAAGCCAGAAAATGGTGAGACACACCTGGGTCATGGTCTTTGAGCAGAAACATCAGCGAAAGCCAGGGCTAAACCCTGAGCCAGGGCAAATTCAACCCCCATCCAAGGCATGCAGTTTCCTTCCAGCCGTGCTGCCATCCTCCATGTGTTGCCCACAAGGGACGGCTGGTTTCTCTATCATTTCCTTTACACATATTTCAGCTCAGTGGGATTCAACCATCATCCAAAAACTAATGATTTGGTCCATAAAGTCCTCCTCCTTTGCAAGCCCTGTGGGGCTGCAGCCCCAGTGAACTGGATAAATGAGAGCTGCACATCTTATTTCTTGGTAATGTTACAGTACCATAACTGTAGATTTGCCAGACTTGTTAGCAGGCAATTGAAAAAGTAAATCCTTTTCCTCGCTATATTTTACAGAACAATTGACTTTGTCCTTGATGTGTTCGGTGTGGGAACCGGTCAATGCTGAGCACTCGCCTCCCGGCTGATCTGCACACAATATGTTATTAAGCAACCTTAAAAGCTGTTTCTCTGGAAAATCAATAATATCCTTTGTGCTAATCATTACAAATCAAATTATGATTTAAAAATTAACTGTAGAAGAATTTACTCGTGCAATTAGCAGCACAGGCTTTCACGGTGAAAATCAAGCTGGCACAACGTAAACCAACTTGCACTCGCTATTTATTCAGGCTTCTGGTCATTTGATGAGACTGAGATATGAGGAATTTTGTTGCAGCGGTTAATTAAGCTTTGTGTACAGAGCTTATACTGTAGTATCGCTGGAAAATCAGCAGGTCGCGCTAGCTGATCAGCCAAAAGGCTTGGCTGGGCATGTTGAGTAGATCGCAGGCTGTAGGAGATCGGAGTGTGTTGCCTTCCTTCTTCGCTAAGTATGAGCTGAAGATGAAGTTGGGCTGGTGTACAGTTCTGATTGAAGTCTCCATCTGGAATTGATTTTGTCTTTTTAATATACTTCCTAAGCCTGATTTCGGCAAGTTTTAATGGGGAGGATGGAGGAACACAAAAGCAAATCTTTTTGCTACCAATGTCCTGTCCTGTGGGGAGGACAAAGCTTGGCTGAATCCTCTAAAAGTCCTTTAATGCTCAGGGAAATAGAAGGGAATAGTGCAGATTTGGGTTGCAGCCGTAGGCAGTTAGAACTCTCACAGTTTGGGATCCCAGCTTATCTCTTTGTCTGGGACCTTACTGTACAAACTTATAAAATGAAAGTGATAGCAAGGAAAAGGATCCCTGCAGAACTGGTGCAGAAGAAAAGCAGTTCTGCATGGCCTGAGTTTGCAGCTCTTTCCTGAAAAGCCTAGTTGCCCCCATTACTTTCCCTTTGCCCTTGAATATTCCTAGAGCTCTGTCTTTTACCAGCCCTTTATTTCCTTCCCGGAGTCAGCTACAAATTGATCCCTACTTCTACAGCCAGTTATTTTTTTTTTTTACTAGACTGAAAAGATAAAGCTGGATTTACTTATACTGTTTCCCCCAACCGCTTGTTACCTAAAGTAGAAAGTGGTATTTATTCTTTTTCCTCTGCTGCTGGGTGACAGCCCCAGCTAAACCAGGATTTTTTAGCATTTGCCCTCTACCTCTCTCAGGCACCTGCCGGAGCATCCCGCATCCCTGCACCAAAGCACTGCACCCCCTGCGCTGCTGGAAAAATTCTGGTTAAATAATAGCTCCCTGAAAAGGTTCATGAAACCGGTCTGTGGGGACAGACCAGAAAAGTGCTGAGCTGTTGTCATTAATGTACGGGTGAAAACGTGACGTATAGAGGAGCAAAGCTGGTGAGCAGGGAGCAGCTCGGACCACGAGTCCCTGGGAGCGGGCACTGCCGCGTGGTCTCTCTGGACTGCAGGAGGGCAGGATGCTGTGCCGAGGGCCGGGAGAAGGCAGGCTGGGGTCTGTTTCGGCATTC